ACCGTTTAAGAAATTCTTATGTTGGACGAAAGTCGAAAAAAATGCCTTCTGCGACAAAAAAACATTTCGACAACTCTAAATTTTACAGCTATGATTGGCAGCGTGGTGGGCGATAAACAACGGCTCCGCCTCTCTTCGGCGACGACGCCCATCGCACTACCACCTAGATTAATTCGGCCAGGTGCCTAGAGATAAAAAAACAGAGAGAAGTCACCAAGGGCATTTGACCTCCTAGTTTTCCCACGATAATCAATCAGACGAATACAAAACGTCGTAAAAAGTTGACACTAGGAATTCCACATGCCAGCCAGTGAGAAGACATTAACCTATAGCACGGTTGCACTTGCAGCATAACATTTCTTTTTATTTAAGACTTCTGGATGAATATCTAGGCTGTAGGTACCGTATATGTGCTACCTACTTTTGTGACCCACTGTGAACATATTCGCGTCCCGTTTTCCTACCGTGGGCTGAAGTCGGAATACGACGAACAATATGAACAGATATAACGCCAGTGGCCAATGCACAGAGCAGTTGCGGACCCTGCTGTTCATGGCGGTCTAGTTATGTGGAAAGTTAAGTTACACAGTCAAGCATCAGTGGATTTTTTCGTTTGAGTTAGTAGCATGCGAGGGGAGCAAACAAGATGTCTCCGTGGAGCACAACAGATGGCTGTTCTTCGGTGACCTTAACGCGCGAGTCACATATCAACCGGCATGCGATGTAGAATGAAAATGGAACGCGTTCCACAGGCATGTGTTTGCCTCTTCATCACAGTATGGCAGTTTGTGTGCACTTAGATTATACGTCATCTTCCTCCGTACTTGTCGCCTACGCTTCATAAAACACGTTGCCTTGAACACATTGCCTGATAGGCCGTCACTTATATGCATATTCTTACGATCTTTTTGGTCATAAACTAGGAGGAAGGACTTTAGGTTAAACGGACGTGACAGATGTTCATGTTCTCAAGCGGCAACCTCAAGGAGCGCCTGTTTCCGTTTATCATTGTTTCTGGTCGTAAAAGGCTTTGCTAACCCAAAAACTCACTTCCTTGACTTCCCAAATAATAAAATCGGTGGCTTACGATAATTTGCGTGTCCGACTACATAATTTGTTTATCTACTTTAGGCGTAATGTCTGCCTTGCATTCGCCTTTCTCTAAAGGTGTACGGGAAATTAACGAACGCAGACAGTCATATTGCTAACGACCATACATCTCGCCCGGCGCAATCTTTTTAGTGGAATTTAATTTAAATTTTGAATAATGGCAGAGGACTTTCCAACCATCAACTGTAATCTAAGTAGTCAGATTCCGTCTAAACAAACCATGCCGGGTTATTTCTCGAAGTAATTTTACAGTTTACATTTTAGATATGCAATTGGTGTAATTCGTCCACCTGATTAAAATATTAAACTAGCCGAAGAGGGTCGTTTTTGAACGTAATATGTTAGAGAAACACGTTGGTTTATTAATGCTGTGGATATCACTCTCTTAGTAGGTTATATAAAGCAACAGATGGGACTACATCTAAAAGAATTACGACGGATATGTAAAAAAAGTTTTTTTGAATAAGTTAAATCGGAATTAACAAGCTTGACGTATCTCAAGGCATGCCGAATTAATGTTCAAAAGGATATTTCTCAAAATGAACTAATTACGCACCACAAAAGTGCTAAAACGTTCCTCTGATTTCATATCCATTAAGCGTGAGCAAATGCTAACCGTTTAACTCACGGAAGGAGTCCTTTTCCAAACTCAGTACCTTATGGCTCAAAAGCCGATTTTAATGAGTTCACTGTTACAAACAACTCCTGTTGTACAACAAAAGTTTTTGAAAATGACACAATAAAAAATGTCAAGATTTTTTTAAAATATCCACGTACAATTAAAACAGAAGAAGGTGCTTTAGTTATCAGGATCAGATTTTTGCAGAATTTTACTGACCAAATGGGGTCCATGAAAATTTTGCTGTGGATTTGAGCCATATTCTATACTTTACAAGTCACATTGGTACATGCCGAGACGTGACGTTTTATGAACTGCATTAAAAGATCTCACAACTTTAAACTTTCATAACCGATTTTTATCCGTCTTTCGGGTAAACATTCGGAAGAGGGCGTAATTGTCTACTGAATGCATGTTTTGGATGAAATATAAATGCAATTTTAAGGGCGTTGCAAACAAATGACAAAAGTGCCTGCTACTTAAGTAGATAGTTTTTGCACTGCCGGAAAGAAAATCTTTCGAGAGCCGACATTCTCAGGTACCTGAATTAATATAGAATCAGTCCGCATGATGATTATTTTTGCTTGAAAAGTCGTGAGCTAGCCCATCTACTGTCGGGTGCGAAAAGGACCTAACCTATGCTGCGCCGTCTTCCCAGATATGTACGAGACTCATAAAGGAAGAAGTAAAAGCCTTACATCTACCTCCCCTTGATCTGTTCAGCACGGGGATTCCTAACTGCAAAAAAATTAGGCAACCGTTTGTGACGAGACAGCGGACACCATGCAGCCTATTAGTTTGTATAGTAACCTTACGGTGACCGACAAACAAAACTGCCGAAAAACGCTCTTCACAAATTTTCGGACTCACTTACCAACCCCGATGAAAACGTGCATGAAAGGCAATACTCCCACATAGGACCAAGGTAGAATGGCTATCCGAAGGTGTTTATGAACAGATGTCCATGCGTTCGCCTTACGATCGTTAGACGCAAAATGCACCAATTATGTTCCGAACTCTGCCATAAATCAAGAATATTTTGGTAACGAACTAGCTAATTTCTGCCGCACTAAATGTTGCAATGGCACATCTGTCCAAGGCTACGGTGCGCAACAGGATCATAGGAATAAATGATTGGTAAATTATTACAGAGCGCCAAGAAGTGATTTATCCTATCTCTCGACTAAAATGTTTATGCAATTCCATACGTCAAGCTGAAAACATGTTCTGACCGCGTATAAAGAATCATAAGTTACCCAGTGTTCTGTAATGTAACCTGACAGAAATAAAGATGATCGGCCGCACCGACAGCAAGAGAAGTGACGTATATATTGTGAAATGGGATTTACATAAGCACTTAGTTTATCGATGTATCGGTCTGGATCCGATATGTTGATCCCGGCGAGTGTCATAGGCAGATACTTGGCACTGATCTTTGATCGGCTATCAGCCCTTACAACCGTTGTTTGTTCTATTGCTAATGTTAACTGTGAAGATAACCTTCTGCACGAGTTAGTTAGCTCGCAAAAT